CATATTTTTATAAATATATATATATATATATTATATAACATTAAAAACAATCCTCACAAAACTTTTTATTTTATTTTTCATTCAATAAACCTGAAAAATCCCCAAAATTGACCTCCAAATTTTTGTTTTTGTTCTAAAATTCATTCATTTATTTTATGCAATTAATAATCTCACACAAATATTGTTTATATATATTCTCCTATTCATCACAAAAAACATATTTTTATAAATATATATATTATATAACATTAAAAACAATCCTCACAAAAAAAATATCAATTTTATTTCTCATTCAATAAACCCTAAAATCCCAAAAATCGACCTCCAAATTTTTGTTTTTGCTCTAAAATTTGTTCATTCAATCAATAATCTCACACAAATATTGTTTATTTATATTCTCATATTCATCACAAGAAACATATTTTTATAAATAAATATATTATATAACATTAAAAACAATTCTCACAAAAAATATATCAATTTTATTTTTCATTCAATAAACCCTAAAATCTCGAAAATCCCTAAAATTCCCAAAATTGACCTCCAAATTTTTGTTTTTGTTCTAAAATTCATTCATTTATTTTATGCAATCAATCTCAAACAATTATTATTTATATATATTCGCATATTCATCACAAAAAACATATTTTTATAGATATAAATATTATATAACATTAAAAATAATCCTCACAAAAAAAATATCAATTTTATTTCTCATTCTATAAAACCTAAAATACCGAAAATTGACCTACAAATTTTCTTTTTGCTCTAAAATTCGTTCCTTTATTTTAGGCAATCAATAATCTTACACAAATATTGTTTATATATATTCTCATATTCATTACAAAAAAGATATTTTATATATTATATAAAATTAAAAACAGTCCTCACAAAAAATATATCAATTTTATTTTCATTCAATAAACCCTAAAATCCCGAAAATCTCTAAAATCCCCAAAATCGATCTCCAAATTTTTGTTTTTGTTCTAAAATTTGTTCATTTATTTTATGCAATCAATAATCTCACACAAATATTGTTTATATATATTCTCATACTCAACACAAAAAACATATGTTTATAAATATATATATTATATAACATTAAAAACAATCCTTACAAAAAAAATATATCAATTTTATTTTTCGTTCAATAAACCATAAAATCCTGAAAATCCCTAAATTCCCGAAAAACGACCTCCAAATTTTTTTTTTTGTTCTAAAATTCGTTCATTTATTGTTTGCAATCAATAATCTCACACAAATATTCTCTTTATATATTTTCATATTCATCACAAAAAACATATTTTTATAAATATATATATTATATAATATTAAAAGCAATCCTCACAAAAAAAATATCAATTTTATTTTTCATTCAATAAACCCTAAAATCTCCAAAATTGACCTCCAAATTTTTGTTTTTATTCTAAAATTCGTTCATTTATTTTTGCAATCAATAATCCCACACAAATATTGTTTATATATATTCTCATATTCATCACAAAAAAACTATTTTTATAAATATATATATTATATAACATTAAAACCAATCCTCCCAAAAAAAATATCAATTTTAATTTTCATTCAATAAACCCTAAAATCCCAAAAATTGACCTCCAAATTTTTGTTTTTGTTCTAAAATTCGTTCATTTATTTTATGCAATCAATAATCTCACACAAATATTGTGTATATATATTCTCATATTCATCACAAAAAATATATTTTTATAAATATATATATTATATAACATTAAAAACAAAAAAACCAAAAATTTCTAAAATCGAGCTTCATAAAACCCTATATTCCTAAAATCGAGCTCCAAATTTTTTTTTTTTATGTTAAAAAATCTTTCTTTTATTTATTGCAATAAATAATACTAGTCAAATATTGTCTGAAAAATCGTAAAAAAGCTGTAAAATTAAGAAAAAAATTAAAAAAAATTGGGTTCGGGCTTACCTTGTCTGCTTCAATATTAAAATCGAGCCCCAAATCTCTCCATTTCAATGGAATCAGGAGTCTTGAAATATATGTATCCTTGTGATCATTAAAATCCCCAACTTTTTATTGAAAAAAAACTGAAATACTAGGGCAAAATCAAAGGAATGGCGGATTTTTCATTAAAAACTGAAGAACACAAAAAAACACACCAAAAATTCGTCAAAATCGATCTAATCTTGGAATTTTCCAGCAGTTTTTTATGCAGTTTTTCCAGTAGTTTTTGATGTGTCATTAACAGTAGAAACAACATAGACAGAAGAATTTGGCATACGCAGATAGTCCAGGTAGTACAAATTACCAACTTTACGCCTAGTACCAATCAATTGCCCTGACTGTTGATCCTATATGTAGCAAAAAGATGGAAAAAAAATAATATTACAATTGGAACGGGTAAGCTGACCAACAGACAATAAATTCATGGCAAGAGAAGGAACATGGTAAACATTAGAAACCCTTAATTTACCAGAAGGGTCAGAGGTAAGAGATATAGAGACCATTTTTTATACTTTCATAGTGGCCCCATCAGCAGTATAGATAGTGTTAGTAAAGGGGTTACAATCAAATAGGATGGACTCATTGGAGGTTATATGGTGAGAAGTTCCTGAGTCGATCAGCCAAGAGGTAGAAACAGAGTTACCTGAAAAAAAAGGAGCAGGTTTAGAGGCAAAATGTGTCTGGGAAAGCATAGACTGTACTTGTTCCAGGGTAAATGTCACAGGAGGTGAAGCAGGAGTAGGATCGGGACCTCCAATTTGAGTTGGTGGGTTTTTGAGTAATGGTTGACTTGTATGAGCAACAACAGTGAATATGAGTTTCTTCTTGTTTTGGCAGTTGTACTTGAGGTGCCCCAGTTCATTACAATAGTTACATCTGACAGATTGCATGTTCTTGGAAGGAATATAATACGAATTGCGTTGATTCTGTTTAGGCACATTTGACCTTTGAAGTCGGGTTGCCACAAAAATTGTGTATCCTTTAACACTTGAGTTAAGATATTTGATATTGCTTTCTTCTGCAATTAGCTCAAAAAGAGCTTAATTCGGAGTAGGGAGAGAGCTTCTGTGGATTAGGCCATTCTGACACTATCAAATTCTGGACAGAGTGCCATTAAGAATTCAATAATCTTGAAATTCCTCCCTAGAGTTGGCAATTATTTATGTGCTAGAACCATGTTCAATTGCAAGTTCCATTAGTGCTGGAGCATCCCAATGTGTCTTCATGCAAGAGTAAAAATCTTGAATTGAATGCTCTCCCTGTTTGAGGGAACGAAATTCCTGTACTAACTGGTTCTTTTGTGCCCAGTTAGTCTGATTATAAATGTCCTCAAAAAATTTCCATGCTTCTCGAGCAGTTTTGAAAGTGCTTAGGTTGATCCTTATATTACTTTCAGATGAGCCCATCAACTAAGCTATAATTCGAGCATTATTTATGCCCTATTCTTCAAGTTTTCTTGACTCATTAGGTTTCCTTTGGGTTCCATCTATGTATCCAAGGAGGCCTTTTCTATGAATGACATTCCATATAAATGAGGCCCAAAAAGTGTAATTAGTGCCATTGAATATAATGGGTACAAGTTGGAAAGAATCTAATTTTTCCATTTAAAAGAATACAAAGGAACAAGGAGTGTTCAAATAATAGTATAGTCCTAAGGTGATCCCTCTCAATTCTCCATAAACAAAACTCTTTGCATGGCTTTGAAGGACTAGAGAGAGAGATGGACGTATAAAAGATAGAGAGGCTCACCAAAACCGATTTTAGCAAAGAATGGGATTTCCTAGAGAGAGACAGAGAGAAAGGCGGAGATTTAGGGGAAAGATGAGACCGGGAGAGAAACGATTTTTCGTGGCCCCAATTGGGGGAAAATTTTTCTGTTGCAGGGGTAACCGATAATTAATTTCGTGTTGAAAATGTGGGTTTTGTGTGCAGGGAGGAAATAATTATAGGGCAATTGCAAAATGATGGGTTTATCAAGATGATGGGAGGAAGTAATTATAGGACAGATAAGTTTGCGAAAGAAACAATATAGACATACAAAATGATGAGTTTATCAAGATAGAGAAGGAGATGGGGTGACAGAGGAAAAGACAGAGAGAGAAGATTTTAGAAAGAGGGAGACTGATTTACGGAGATTGGAGAGATTCAAAGGATATAGAGAGAGAAGATTGCAGTTTGTATAATTGTTCACAGTTTTTATAATTGTTCACACTTTTGAAAGCAGTTTGTATAATTGTTCACAGTTTTGTTCACACTTTTGAAATGGGTCTTTCTCTCTTCACAAGTGAAATGGTCTCTCTCTCCATTTGAAACGTATATGAAGGGTACAATCAAAATAAATGGTGTTTTTTTTTAGAAAAATCTCAATAGTAAACAAATGCTATGTTTCTTTCTCTCTGCGTTGCAAAATAAAGGAAAGGAATACCGGAAATAAATGGGTTTCCTTTTATGTGCAAAATCTCAATATCTAGGTTGCAAAATATAGGAAGAAGATAACCAAAATAAATGAGTTTCTTTTTTTTGTGCAAAATCTCAATATGCAAAATATAGGAAGAAGATAACCAAAATAAATGGGTTTCTTTTTTGGGAAAAATCTTTTATTTTATTTTTGCAAATATAGGAAGGAGATAACCAAAATAAATGAGTTTCCTTTTTGGGAAAAATCTTTTAGTTTATTTTTGCCTTACTTTTCAAGAGTGAAAGGGCAAAAAAAGAGAGAAAAAAGAAAGAGTGAAAGGGCCAAAAAAGAGAGAAAAAAGAAAAAGAAAAAAAAGAGGTCAATGGGCAGGGCCTTATTTGGGCCTGTAGATTATTGGGACTAAACGAGGCGTTCCGGGCTTACCTAGCCATCTTGGCCCGTTGGACTTTTTCCAGTGGTAGTGAGAATAGCATTACACGTTTTTTGTTTTTCTATTGCCGTAGTAGCCTTATAATTATAATTAAAAGGTCCCAAGCAAAAAAACCCCATGACCCTATAAATCCAACGTCTCCACTCTCATCGAAGCTGCCACCACCACCCTCTCTCTCTCTCTCTACACCCCACAATGCCCCGCCTCCTCCTCCTCCTCCTCTCCCTCCTCTCTTTCCTCCTCCCCCATGCCTCATCCCTGGACTACTGTGTAGCTGACACCTCTCTACCCCAGACGTTTTCAGGTTTCCCCTGCAAAAACCCCTCAAATTTAACAGCAGATGACTTCTCCTACTCAGGCTTGGCCAATCCAGGGAACACATCTAACACCATAAAAGCAACAGTGACCCCGGCATTTTTGACTGAATTTCCGGCCCTCAATGGCCTTGGCCTCGCCGTCGGTCGCGTGGACGTGGCGCCTGGCGGTGTGATTCCACTGCACACTCATCCTGATGCGAATGAGGCTCTGGTTTTGATTCAGGGGACTTTGATTGTTGGGTTTGTTGATACCTCGAATAAGGCGTATATCAAGAGTTTGAAAACGGGGGATGTCTTTGTGTTTCCTCAGGGGCTGCTGCATTTTCAGGTTTGGGCCTTTCTCGCTCGATCTCTCTCTCTTTCAGTCACAACACACACAAAAACACACATACACACGACAGACATAGACTCCCATTGTAGTTTTTCTTCCCCTAAGTTTTTAAGTTTGCATTGTTCCTCTCTGCTTTAGAAATCTCTCTCTCACACCGGGCACACTCATACCTGGTAGTATTTTCTTGTTTTTCGAAGTTTTTAAGTTTTGCATTAGCATGTGCCTCTCTCTCTCTCTGACCCATTCTCTGTCATGCACGCACTTGTAGTGTTTTCTTATTCTTGTGAGTATTTGAGTTTGCTTTAGAATGTACCTCTCTCTCTCATAGACATAGTACTATTTTCTTGTTTATCGTTTCTCTAAGTTTTCCAATTTTCTTTTGAATGTGCTCTCTCTCTCTCTCTTCTTTATGTGATAGAAAATTTCTCTTTTTTTTATTGAACTTGTGGGTGAAAATGCTAAAAAAAGCTAAGAAAAAAAATCCTAATACAGTATTCTTGATCAAGGAAATATGTGAGATTTCTATACTTCCCCTACAGTATAGACGATCAATGCTTCCCCTACCATCCACCCGTCCAATTTTGATCAAGAGAGCCACTCACCGTTTGATCTTAAATCTAATACCTCAAACTATTTTATTTTTAGTTTTTTATACAAATGGTATGAATATGAAATTTGGTACGTATCACATTCACATTTGAGTGCACCTATAAAAAATAGTAAAAATAATTTTTTGATAAAATATAATAACCAAAATACCCTTTGAAACTTTATATTTTGATCATTTTATTTTATTGGAAATATTTTTTTATATTTTTTTACTAGTTCGAGTTTAACAGAGGATTGGACATCTAAATTTTGGTGTCAAAATAGTTTATAGAAAAAAAAACAAAAATAAAATATTGTAGAGACATGACACTGTAATTGGGGCAATCTTAAGCCTCCATTCAGTAAGGACGGTAAGGGGAAGTATATAAGTTTTATGCTCTAGGAGAAACATAGAAAGCTTGCCTAGGAAATATTATCCTATCTATAAAAAAGGACAAAGTTTATATAGAGCTGAGGCTCTAAACAATTAAAATAGAACCCACCTCAAAAATTTCACTAGAAGATGTTATTTTGAAGCTCAAATATCCTCAAATTGATCATCTCGACATCAAGATGCATAGACATGAGAAAAAAATATATTCTAGGTTTTGGAAATAAATCTTGTAGAACATTTTTTCACTGTAGATTTTCAAGATTTTAATTTAAATTTTATAATTAAAGATGAAAATATATTTTAAAGTTATCACAAAGATTTCCAGTATAGAAACCACATTTCTCAACACTATTTGAAGGTGAGCTTTAATTTGATTGTTTAGAGCCTCGGCTCTATACAAACCACACCCAATAAAAAAAGAGTAGATAATTTCATGTTATGAAGCTCTCTCTTTCTCTCTCTCATAAGTCATTATCTTGTTTCCCTAAGTGTTTCTGATGAGAATGTGATTCTGTATCTGATTTTGTATGTGCGTGTGAGAGCACTTTTTTTCTTTCTCTTAAGTTTTCTATGGTCGCTCTCAGATGGCTCTCTCTCTCTCCACCAGGTGTTAGAAAAATCGAACCAGCCTTGGAAAGCGACCAAGGGCCATGTTTGAGTAAATTGGTAAATTTGCCGGTTCAATCGGCTTGACTAAAAAGTAAAAAAATACAAAAAAAATCCAAAAAAATATGAAAACCATATTCAAAGCATGATTAAATAAAGCACATCCAAAATGAATTTGAATAGTGAAAGAAATGGATTTAAAAAATTGATATGTGCTGATTGATGTTTTCAAAATTTTCTAAAAAAGATGGACATGAATGTAACGTATCCATTTTAGAGATGAATGCAAGTAGGTGTTCCATATAAAAATAATGAAAATTAAGGGTCCAAATGTTTTCTTACTAGAATTATTATTTCTAGTTTGTAAAATTTATTTATTTATTTATTCATATTCATGATCTTCATGTTGAGATTACATGTACTTAAAAAATTAAGTCTTAAAATCCATCTCAAAAGTACTTTTATTAAGAGGCCCGCAATTTATATATGAAACTCTAGTCGAAAGCAAGAGCTAACATTATTCAAATACTTTGAAATGCAGGTAAATTCAGGAACAACTCCTGCCTTCGCTATTATTACTTTAAATAGCGCAGCTCCTGGAGCACAACTAACATCCTTCTCTCTCTTCTCAAGTGACTTCTCCTCTAAACTCATTGAGACCACGACCTTCTTGTCTGAAGCTGAGGTCAAGAGGCTCAAAACCCTTCTTGGTGGTTCCAACTAAGCCTCTCCTCTTGCAACTCACTTATTCCTCTCTTTGAAATATTTATCTTGTAGGATGAACATCGGCTTTGAGGTATCTGTTGTGGTGTTTTTTTTTTGGAAAAAGAATATTATAATAAATTAAGAATTTTGTATGGGAGGATTACATAATCACTTAGATCAGCTTCTTGTTAGATATGTCAATTTAAAGTATGAGAAACTGCGTGTTGTTACTGTAGAAACGAAAAGCAATCCATGAATAACAAGAAAGAAGAAACAAACACAAAAGAAATAGACAATCAATCATAACACAAAGATATACGTGGTTAGGCAATGTACCTACGTCCACGGGAGATTAGAGCTTCTGGTTAGGCAACGTACCTACATCCACGGGAGATTAGAGCTTCTTTATTAACATGGAGAATAATGTTACAATTCACTCTTTTCCTCTCGTCTCTCGCCTCTCGCCTCTCTGTCTCTGTGTTTTTATTTTATTACAAAGAGATCTGCGTTTTTCCCTTAACCCTTAACTTTGGATGAACCCCCAATCACAATGATATATATCCATCTCAGATAGATGGTACAAATTATGAAAACACCCTTGTATGGATATATATATTTTGTCCTAGATATATCGAATTCCATGTACGTATATATCTGAACCTTGGCAGATATATTTCCTCAGACATCAATCCTCAATAATAGCCACCTTGGCTTGAATTTTGTCGAGTGGTTTGAATTATGTCGAGCCTCTTCATCCCTATACCTCTATAAAGGTATGCTACTGCAACCCCATCTGCCATGGGATGTTTCTCTCACTCTCAACATTGAGAGACATTAATACGCTACTGCAACCCCAACTACCATGGGATGCATCTCTCACTCTCAACATTGAAAGCCATTAAGCAAGTCCAAGCAAAGCTTGAACTTCTCTGTGGTGATCGGCTTTGTAAGCATATATGTAGAGTTGTGATTCGTATGAATTTTCTTTAGGTGAATGATTATTTCTCATACAAGCTCCTGATCTTGTGATATCTCACACCTTGACACTTTGAATATCACAATGCAATACAATACTTTCTTGCTCCACCCCCAACTCACAAGCTAAAACAGCTAAACCAGTCGACGAGATCGCCTCCTTTGCAGCCTCAACTACTGCCATGTACTCTGCCTCTGTCATAGAAAATACAATCGTGGTTGAAGCATTGCTTTCCATGAAATAGGTCCACCTGTTAGTGTGAAGACATACCCTGTAGTAGACCTTCGCTTGTTTAAATCATCAGCATAGTCGGAATCAACATATCCCACCAGTTCTGTAGAGTTTCTCTTCATGCTGAGCATAATTTCGAGATCTGACATCCCTTTCAGATATCTGAAAATCTACTTAATAACATTCCAATGATCCCTTTCATGATTACTCATGTATCGACTAACGATACTGATAATATGAGATAAATCCGGCCTGCTACAAACCATAACATACATAAAGCTTCCGACTGCGCTAGCATAGGGCACCAGATAATATGCTCTATCTCCTCATCTATAATGGGACACTGCCATTTAGATAACTTGAAATGATTCGCCAATGTCGTTCAAATAACTTGAAATGATACTCCAATGGAGTGCTAACTGACTTGGCTTTTTCCATGTTCAAACGCTCCAGCGCCTTTTCAACATACATTTTCTAAGTTACCAAGAGTTTACTTGCACTTCTATCCCTATGAATCTCCATACCAAGGATCCTATTAGCAGCCCCTAGATCCTTCATATCAAACTCATAACTTAATATAGACTTGAGAAAAATTATGTCACATGCATTCTTGGCAACGATGAGCATGTCGTCAACATAAAACATCAAGAGAATAAGGGAATTATCATCAAGAACTTTAAAATAAATACAACAATCATACTCACTTCTTGAATAGTCAATCCGCGCCATGAAAGAGTCGACGCCCTTGTACCACTGCTTGAGAGATTTCTTAAGATCATAAATCGATCTCTTGAGCAAGTAAACTTGATCTTTCTTTCCATGCACCTTGAAGCCTTCAAGTTGTTCCATAAAGATTTGTTCCTTCAAATCACCATGAAGAAACTTTGTCTTCACGTCAAACTGCTCTAGCTACAAATCAAACATGGCTGCTAAATCAAGTGATAGCCTTATTGGAGTGTGCTTGACAACCGGAGATAATATTTCATTGTAGTCCACTCCCTCCTTTTGAGCGTAACCCTTTGCTACAAGCCTATCCTTGAATCTCTCACATTCCTTTTCTGTTGTTGCATCTTTCTTTTGAAAGATACACTTGTACCCAATTATTTTCCTTCCCTTGGACCTCTTGACAAGCTCCCAAGTCTTGTTCTGTTTAACAGACTTCATCTCCTCTATCATGGTTGTCATTCATTTATCACTCTGTGCATCACTTAGAGCATCTTCGAAGGAGTCGATTTCCCCAGTACCAATAGTTACAACAAATGCTAGCATGTCCTCAAAGTCGTATCTCACAGGGGCTTTATGAACACGCTTTTTTCTGACTTTTGCCAAACTGTAGGGTTCACCACGTGATTGTTGTTATTCTGGTTTGTTGCTAAATGATTTTTCCTCGTCTGGTGTTTAAGACTCTTCTAGCTCCACCTGGACTGTCAATCTTTCTTCATCACTTTCATCTACTTACACTTTGTCATCTTGCATGTTGATTGACTTTACCATGTGAGATTCATCAAACACAACATCCCTACTAAGCACAACCTTATGTGAAGTAGGATCTCAAAGCTTGAATCCCTCCGAGAAAGATGCATTGCTTAGACTTAGAATCTAATTTCGAACGTTTTCCACTTTGCACATGGACGTAGACTTGACATCCGAAGATCCTTAGCGTAGAGTAATCTACTGGCTTTCTTGTCCACATCATCTTGAATTTGCAATCAATCGTTGTAGTTGGTGACCTATTAACGATGAAACAGGCAATGCTAACTGCTTCTGCCCAGAAACGTTTCTTCAAATCTCTATTCAATCCCATACTACGAGCTCTTTCTAAAAGAGTCACGTCCATCATCTCAGCCACACCATTTTGCTGAGGAGTTTCTGGTTTGGTAAAGTGACGTACAATCCCCTCTTCTTTACAAAATTCTTGAAATTCTCTAGGCTTTTACTCCCGTCCATTATCTGATCTCAAGAATTTCAGTTTCTTTCATGTCTTCCTTTCCACCTCTGCTTTATATTGTTTAAACTTCGTGAATGCTTCACTTTTATGTTTCATGAAGTAGACCCAGACCTCGTTAATGAAGGTAATGAAGTATTCTGCCCCACCCATGGATTGATTGGTGAAGGCCTCCATACATCAATGTGTACATAGTCTAGTATATCCTAGCTCGTATGAATTACAGTTTTGAATATAATCTTGTATTGTTTATCGAAAACACAATACTTACCGAAATCCAGTTTACAGGCTCTGACACTCTTCAACAATTTTCTTTTATGAAGTTCCGTTATACCTCATTCACTCATATGCCCTAATTACGTATGCCAAAGATTTGTGTCATCTGTGTTGGACTCAACATTTGTGGTTACAGAAGCTCCACCTGTAACTGTATTCCCTATCAACTTGTATAGGTTTCAGGTAACTGACCTTTCATTACAACTATAGATCCCTTACTAACTTTGAGGACTCCACCTGTTGTTGTATACTTGCAACTATTCAAATCAAGAGCCCCTAGAGATATTAAGTTTTTCTTTAATTGTGGCACATGCCTCACATCTGATAAGGTTCATACTATCCCATCAAACATCTTTATTTTAATAATTCATATTCCAATGATCTTGCATACCGCATCGTTCCCCATTAGAACATAACCACCACTATATGATTTGTAGGTTTCGAACAAGTTTCTATTTGGAAACATATAAAAAGAACAACTAGAATCTAAAATGCAAGAATCAGTAAATTGATTCTTACCTGAAGATCTCCATCATCTCCGTCAGAGCTACCGGTCACGCTAGCTTCATCAGATGTTTTTCCTATTTCTATCCTCTTTATATCCTCCTTTCTTTTCGGGTGGTCTCTCTTCATATGTCCTTCCTTTTTGCAGTAATAGCAAATAAACATGATCGACTTCCTTTGACTTAATCTACCCCTTTCATGACTCTCTTTGTGTTTTCCAAAGAAATCTTATTCTTAAGATTTAATAATTCTAGTCTTCTTTCTTGTCTCGTTTAACATAAGAGTAGCAGTGACTTCGTCCGTCTCAAGAGTCTCCTTCCCGTACAGTAGAGTCGTAATCACGCGATTGTATGATCCTAGAAGCGAAGCCAACAGAAGTAGGGCTTTGTCTTCATCCTTGATTTCGACCTCAAGGCTTGCTAACTAGCTTATGATCTGGTTGAACTCGCTAAGATGTTTAAACAGATCTGTGCCTTCTTCCATTTGAAGAGAATACAACTGCTTCTTCAAGAATAACTTGTTCGTCAGATATTTTGTCACGTAGATACTCTCCAGTTTTGTCCAAACCTCCGGAGCAGTTTCAAGATCCACCACATAACGCAAATCGTCATCTGAGAGATTCAGACGAATCACACTTACCTCATTTTCCTCCATTTCTTGCCGCTCTTCATCGTCCATCTTTGCTGGTTTCTTCGATTTCCCTAGCAAAGCCTTAGCCAGACTTGTTGTATCAAAAGATCATTTATCCTTTGTCGCCAAAGGGTGAAATTGTTCTTTTCATTGAACCTCTCAATGTCATACTTGATGCTTGAGCCATTTCTTGTCATCGTGGTATCAAACCCTAGAAACTGGAATAACTCTTCTACCAATTTGTAGAAACGAAAAGTAATCCACGAAAAATAAGAAAGAAGAAACAAACACAAAAGAAATAGAAAATCAATACAACGCAAAGATATATGTGGTTCGGCAACATGCCTACGTCTATGGGAGATTAGAGCTTCTTTGCTGGTAATGGAGAATAAGTTACAATTCGCTCTCTTCCTCTCGCCTGACTGTTTTTATTTAATTACAAAGAGATATGCATTTTTCCCTTAACCCTTAACTTTGGATGAACCTTCAATCGCAACGATATATATCGGGTCCCAAATAGATGGTATAAATTATCGAAATACCCTTGTACGGATATATATAGCAAGTCCCAGATATATTAAATCTCATGCATTGATATATTCAAACCTTGGCA